ATGTTATTTCCCATGTGTGGCTCCTTGGCTTCCACTATGAGCTTTAGTTTTTTGTGCCTTTGCCACTTGGAATTCTGGCCGGCTGCTAGTTTTCCGAGCCTGGGATGTTTTCCCGTGGCTGTGGCGCCTTGGTTCCGTGCAGCCTCCTTGGCTCCCGCGGCCGCTCCTTCGATTCCTGGGCTTGGGCGGTTTTCCGTGAATGCATGGGAGGGGGTTTCCATGCTTGTGATGTTTAGGTTCTTGTGAAAATTAATGTTGGTGTCCTTTTGTATTCCCCTTTCATACCTATAAATATGAGGGGCTTGTAATGTTTATAGTGAATGTTATGTGATTTTTGGAATCTAACCTGCGGGTTATTGGAAAAGCTTGCGAGCTTTGTCCGTCTTCTTTCTCATCCCCTCCGCAAATCTTGCGAGCTCTTTCCAACCTTTCATCTCGGCTTCTAATCTCTTTCATCTCTCAGCAAGTGCCACTCCATCTGTATCTTTCGTCTCTAAGTAAAGCAACTTTATGGTGTCTTTGATTTCGAGTCAAAAATTGTAATCTGTCGTCGTTTGTAATATTTTTAAAATTTTCTTCTTTTTAGTTTAATTTGAAATGTAAGAGTTTGTTCTTCCTCATCTTAGTTGCATCATTCGTGATTTAGTGGGTCGTCGGTTTAAAGGAAAAATCTCTCGTGTGGACGAAGGCTCCCTATATTTCTTTCCCCCACCACCTGTGGAGATCGGACAATCCGAACGCCCAATCGGAGCCCTTTAGGAAATATTTTTTAGGGTTTTAAAAGGAAAATTTGAATGTATGGACTGTTTAGGGATTTCCTTTTGATTTGTATGCATTCAATAGTTGATTTTCCTAGGGTTAGGGCATCTTGAATATGTCTGAAATCTGAGATCTCTTATATTTAGGTTTCCTATGGGCTCTAGCGGCGTCTAGAGATTTGGGAGAGATCGATCCTCCTCTCGAATAGAGGATCAAGTGTATCTTGCAATTTTCCATTTCACTTTCATCAAGTAATACAAATTATCTACTATTTTTGTGATTTTGTGCGTATTTTTGTGAAGAATTCTTGCAGTTTTTAGATGATTGAGAGGAAATACTTGCGATCTACAAGTGTTTCCTATCAGATTGTTATTTTTAAAATGATTTAAAATTGTTTTCGAGAAGAAGATTTCTTACTTGATCAAGTATATACTGCTAAGATCTTCCAGAAGTCATATGGATGCATATTAAGCTAAAAATGACTGAAAAATGAACGCTAAATCACAGAAATTGACTTTGCAATTGCAAGATGCCTACAATTTACAACATTGAATGTTAATCAACTAAAGGAAACAAATAATATGCATTTTTTCTTGACATAATTTTCCACTAAAAGAAAATGATTTAATATTAAAATTTTGAAGAAAATGTGGTTATAAATATTTGTTGAATCTCCATTTCAACAGCATATGAAGCATCTTTTTATCTTAGATGGTTTAGTAAGAAATGTAACTCGATTCACTTGGAATAGTGATAAGAAAATAATAGCAAAAACAAAAATTTGCAAGAGCCACCAACTATTAATTTACACCACATTTTGACTACTTTGGATACAAAACAAAAACATGATAGAAAGCAAATTAGACAAATTATCTAGAAGCAGACGATTGAAATCCAAGCGATCAACATAAATCCAAAATTTATCAACAAATGACAAAAAAAGGAAAACGGTGATGGAAAAAGATAAAACAACCTCACCTGGCCTCGAGTCCACTGATTAAGGATACCTTTCCTATTGCAGATTTAAGCCACGTGAAAGAAATAGTTTAAGCTCTAATTCCTAACTAATAATTCAACGAAGAATCAGCAGAGAACCCCAAAAGATCACATAACACAACCAAAAATAATTCCATCTTAATAATAGTTTGACATCTATGCATGTTACACAAACTCCGATTTAAACTAAAGAAAATTACTAAAATTCAAATCAAATTTAAATCCATAAAAGTTCGTATTTAAAACTAATATACCACAAACATTTTATGTTTCTGATAAGTGTAGATATTAATATTTGGATCCCAAACTTCTCATTATTCCATGGATACTAAACAAAAACATTTCAATGTTGCACGCTCTCATTCAAACTAACAAATGAGTATAACCCTAACGTTTTTTCTTCTCTCTACCATCCTATACACGAACATGAAATTACAAAAGTAACCTATACACTTATTATAGGCGGCATGGAACTATTTGGAGAACCGTAGCACACCACATAAAATAATATGCAAATACATTAAACCTGTCTAAAGGGAAAAAGTGATATCATGATCCTAATTCAACCAGATCACTTTAAGATCAAATCAAATGCATGAAAAGAAATAAGGTTTTCCAATATGGCGACTAAAAAAGAGAGAAGAAAATATAGCATCGAGCAAGAGATGAAGCTTATGAATGATAATAATTTTCTTACTGTCAATTCTCAGACGCTCTAACTGTATACTCTCATTTTTCCGTAGACTTCGATCAGCCTAGAGAAGTTTGGAGAAATCTAGTAAGAACGCAATGTATACTGACTAAACTAGTAAATGAAATTTCAAAATTGGAAGCAAGATTTAAAGATTATACCAATAAAGGAAATACAATTAAAGTAAAAGAAACACTTAATTAAGAATCAGGACATTATGACGTGGAAAATATGGTTTGAAAATGTATGAAACCAGAGGGCCTCTGATGTCTCGTTAAAAATCAGATGTATCAAATTTGCAAAGGCCAAAAAATACTAAAAGAGTGATATCACACAGCTAAATTAATTAAGGAGGCTTAAAAATAAATAATGCAAAATATGAGGATTGGAGGAAACAACACTCAATAAACTCTTAGGGGTTGTTTGGCAGTGGCGGAGCCAGAAATTTTATTCAATGGGGAAATTTAAATAGTTATGTTTGCCGTCTCATTTGGAAGGCATCTCATTACCGGATCCAAGAGGAGAAAGAAAATAACATGCCCTTAGAACTTACAAGACATAAACATCTGCCACGGGTGGTCTTCATTTGGGGGTGAGAGAGAAGCGAAAAGAAAAACGAAAGTCGTGCTTGAGGTCGTGAGTCGCAAGAGAGAAGCAAAGGGTAAAACGAAACATTGATGCTTTTCATGTGTCCAAAAAAAATGTTGGTGGCTTCTTTGGATTAATAAAGAATTTTAAAATGAAATATTACAAAAATTAGGGCAGGTTTCCTTGCTGGTTAACTTGTTGCTCTGCACTAAAACAATCAGCTTTATGCCCCTTTAGGCTTTCAGTTTTAGCTTTCAGATTTTGAGGAGATCTCTATCAAAATCTCTTTTCATCATTTCGTCCATAATGGAAAGTCATTCCTTCCTCTCTCTTTCAATATTTTACCACATTAGTCTTTCTTTCTCTCTCTACAGCTGAAGCATTGCATGGTCCAAGTAGGTGGATTGAAGACTTGAAATGGAAAAAGCCTGTAATAAATAAAATGAAAGCTGACAAGGGGTTGTACCATAATGAATGCTTAAGTTCTATATGTGGGCTTATGCCATTGTTCAAAGGAATTTTTTTTTTACCCCCCTCCCCCCTTACTGTTTGGCAACCAGCAGGATTTATCTACTTAGGATTTAATAAATCCTGGATTTAGTAAATCCTGGAACTGTTAAATCCTAAAAACTGTTAGGCAAATTAAGTGTTAAATCATGTGAAACTATTTGACAGTCTAATCCAGGATTTAAGGCAGTTAGTTCATATTAAAAATAAATTTATTAGGTTTTTATTTAAATCATGTATTAAGTAAGATTTTTTTATTAATTTGAATGATGATTTTCATCTGTAAGTTTTATTGATAAATAATATCATTAGATATGAGCTTAATTATTAACTATTTTATTAATTATCTCATTAGTCACTTAGATATTCTACTATATAATCTATTAATTAAGTTATTTATATTAGGATTTAGGCAATTGTATTAATTAAGCTAATTATATTTGAATAAACTTAATAAGAACAAACAACAAAAAATTCATATCTTGAAGTGTGGCCATTACGTATAAAATATAGCCAAAATCAAACATGTGATACATCCAACACCAAAAACAACTAGACATGTCCACATGAATTTGAAACATGATAATTTTTAATTAAAAGTGTAAATATATTGCGCTTATGCCGGGGGTCCAAGGGTGCGCTGCCCCCTGGCGGGGTTTGACCTGCCCGGTCAGGTCGAGGGGTCAAGGGCCAGCGCCCCCGGAACAATATTTTATTATAAGAGTTGTTTTAAAGTTTTTTCTATCTTCTCGGTACTGCTTGGTACCATTTGGTACCCCTCTGTACCGAGTAGTACCGAGCGGTACCGAGTTCCGGTACCGAGCGGTACTGAGTTCCGGTATAGAGCAGTACTGAACAGTACCGAGTACCGAGCAGTACCGAGTACCGAGCAATACCGAGTACCGAGCAGTAATGAGCGGTACTGATAACTGAGCAGTACCAAGTACCGAGCGGTACCGAGTACTGAGCGGTACCGAGTTCCGGTATCGAACGTACGATTAAGAAAATGAAGAATGAAGAAAACGAACCTTCAATGCTCACGCCGCCTTCACTGTTCGTGCTGTCCGATCAAATTTACATAATATTTTAATTGGACATGACAAAGCTGTATCCGTGTCGTATCGGAGGCGTATCCGTATCCGACACGTGTCCAATACAGCATGCCTCATAAATAGGCGTATCCATGCAACATAGCAAAAAAGCTTCACTGAAACTATAGAAACCACAGGGTTAAAAATTGAACTTTTTTTTCACTTGCCGAGGGCACCAAAAGATGTAGCCAGCATGAAAGATGTTGTCAATACATTGCTAGCAATTAAATCAAGTGCACCTTAAAAAATCATATATAAGAATTATTTTAATTACATAATTAAATAAAATCTTACCCAAGCTTCCCATAACCTGTTGGCAATTGAATGTCGTAGTTCTTCTCCTTAAAGTCTTTCCCCAACAATAGCATGGACGTTCGAGTCATCATCAGGTGCTAGTACTTCACCTAACTCGGTGTCATGTTGTGTTTATGTTTGAGACATGTTGAAGTACAAGTCATATCCACGGTATGGTCCTATGAAATTGTGTAAAAGTGAAGAAGCAAGCACAATGTCCACTTGCACCGTTAGAGGAAACTGTCTCATACGGGATAGCACCTAAAATCTCTCTTTCCAAATACCAAATATTCGCTCAACTATGTTGTGTAACTGTGCATGGCGATGGTTGTAGAACTATTGTTAAGTAGTGTACCAATGGGTACTGTCACCACGGTAGCCACTCAAATGGTAGAGGTATCCTCTAAATGGTGCTATTAGATTGTCCTTGTTAGCGTAATCGGAATCCACTAGATAATATTTACCAGATAGAACTCGAAAATCACCTTCCTCAACTGCCCATCATAGCACCCTCATATCTACTACTGATTCCTCCCAACCAAAGTTGATGTAGACGAATTGATGATTAAATGAGACAGCGGCCATAACATTTTGTGAGGTGAAACCCTTTCGGTTTCTATAACGATTTTGCAGGCCTCTACTAGATATTGCAAGAATGTGAGTTACATCAATTGCTCCCATGGCATTACTAAAATGTGGGTATAATTGATGATTTGATTGCATATATGAATGACACTTTGCATCTCCAGTAAGCAATTGTATAAATTCAACTGCTAAAGAGACAATTGCTCATAAAACTAAGCTAAAATAATGACTCACTGTCTCCGATGAGTGTTGGAAGAACTCGCACAATTGTCTGTAAGAATGCGCGTGTGCAACCCCTCAAAGGAAAATCGCCAATTGTTTTTCTACAACCATGCTTCTGCTATCCTTGATCAAATCACGACTTAGCAACAAAAATTTCAACTGTATAAATGCATCAACCGATAGTCGAATACAATTATATGCTCGCAATGGGTGGCCAATGAGGATACCAACAACATACACTTTACCAGTATATGTTCTATTGAACATGGGATGCCGTATTATAGGTTCATCATCAGATGAGCTATCGTCATCCAGAATCATTGGCATGAGGTCGACTATTGCATTACTAATTTCTAATTGGGCATTTAGCAAACTGTTCAAGTCATTGGTCTCGTCATATTGCAGATAGTTCGGCATGCCTGTTTAGTTTATGATTTAGTTGCTTCACAAAAAATACAAGTAGGCAAACTTTAAAATCATGGCAAACGTTACAACTGCTTCTTACAGGTTCGTTATATTTTGTTAAAATTCCATCATGGCAATCAAAAGTCTAGCACTGGAGATTTAAGCCTATTGCTCACCTCTTGCAGGAACACTGCTCAATTGATATAGCATTCCCCTACAAACTTCACATTAAAATGCCACAAAAGAGAAAGGTAACTATTAAATCATTGCTGTTTGGCAAACTTCAGTAAAGAAGATCACTTTCATACAGTCCAGGCCAAAAAAAGCAAAACAAACGACAGCACCCCAACCAAATGGGAAAAATTACAGCAAAATGAAGCTGAAACGAACAAGCATTCTTTTATATCAGTTGATGTAACAGCAAACAAACTAAGCAGAAGTACAGAAATAACTAGCAAAAGCTACAACAACCAAATACAATATAATTCTGAGGCAACAAAGTTAATTTGAAGGTACCATGCTGGGGAGGCATAGAAACAAGGGTGGGAGCTAAGAACCTTTTCGATCCAACCACGCAGTACAGGACCATTCCACTTCATAAAAATAAACTTATTGTTTGGGTTTTCTAGGGGCGCCTCTTGGACCGCAAGAAATGCTTCAGTGGTGGTGATATTCTCAATTGTACCCAATTAATCAATACACTCCGACATATCAAATCGGCTCATTCTTGCTTGGTTAGCTAGGATCCTCTCCGTATTAGTGTTAGGACGATTGAATAAATTAGTTATTCTAACTATTTCTGACTTTTTTATTGCGTGGTGGGAGTCCATCTATTTCTCCACTTGATCTTTTTGAACGACTTTGCGGTGTTGTTCTCGCTGGCACTTCCAGATCTTCATCACTTCCACAAAACTAACATCATTTGTGGCCATAAAATTATCTATATTTGGTTCTACGTCAGTTGTGGCTTCCTCTACTTCTAGATTAGCATTTCGGGTGGACCGTGCGATATTTCCTATTGTGATGTTGTCCCCACAATTTTTTTCAAAAACCTCATATTGGTGAAAAGGATTTCTTCGGAACTTTGTCTTTTTTGGCTCACCCTAGTAAAAATTTTAAATTTCTTTAGTAAAGAGTTTTAAAAAATGTATAATTCAAAGGGAAATGAGTAGTTTAGAATGAGAAGTAACCTGTATTAGCTCATCCCACACTTCATCAGTAGCTACCAGCATATGCAGATTGGTATCCCAGCTCCAACCATTCCAATTTGAAAGTTGATAAACCATGTGAAAATCAGATTTCATGTTTTTGTATATGAATAGTACAACAAATTTTGTATGAGCCGTGCCTAAACGATGATTTAAAGCATGTACAACATTGCACCACACTTCCTTCTTTAGAATGTTGTTAGTTATATTTCCACATAAGAACAACTCTAATAGTAGCTCGCTAAAAACATCATATAAAGCTCTGGTCACTTAGGTGTTCTGTTAAACCCCTTATGTTCGCACATACTAATCGACATATCTTCCTCAACCCATGTGTTATCGCTGGCCTCTCCTCGTTGTATGTACTTCCCCTTCAATAATCAATTTATTCCAACTATTCAATTAAATAAGCTTCAATTAATTCTATAATAACTTAGACATGAGAGTAGTTCAGCGCAAATATTACTTTGGTAATGAAGATATACCATTGCGACTATGAAATGTTCTACATTGATTGTCACTATATCTATAAGGTAGATAATTGGTGTTTGAATACTCCTTATCACTCAGGTTGTCTACACCGTGGAATTGCACAGGTGCTGAAATCTCTTGACAGCCATCATTCTGAGATGGTCCTCGCATTTTTTTGGATGATTGAGATATTTCTACAATAATTTTATTATGCCGATGAGTGCTGAAAGCTCTGGACAGCCATCATTATTACGCTCAACAGGGAGTAGTACAGATTACGGACCATTAGGAACATAAAACAAGTTAACGAGGATGATTGTATTTGAGCCATATTCTGAAAGGGCACACACACAAATGTGAGCACAAGTACAAATTAACACACAATTTATATTTCATGGAATAAAAATAAAGTTTACATCAACAATCTCTGCTCTATTCCAGAATTCTCAATTGAATATGAAAAGATAACTGTGCCAAGCAACTCTTCTACCAATCGCAAATTTGAGGCATCTAAGGTATGTTCGGTAAGGTCAGAGTTGTCCTTAAAATTAGTTGTGAAATTGTTGCATGAAAAGTAGAGATTTTAAAAGTTGTTGTAGATATTATAAATTTTTACCTAAAAAAAGAGAACAATTTTCTTACAGCTACCTGATTTTAGCATGTCCAATTGTGAAAAGCTTCCTCTCATCACAGAAATTTGTTAACAAAATTGTGGTTGTGGACTATAAAGAAAAGTTGCGAAAAAATTGGCTCAAGCACACCTCTAGTCTATACAGAAGCAAGACTATATTCACTTCAAAGTTCTACCAAATGATATACCTGGAAGGTCTAACACTTGCACTTCACTACCAATTTAACAAAAACAAAAAATTTAGGAAGAATAATCATATATAATCCTTCTTTATTTCTGCATCATAAGATCCAGATTTTAGTTGTTTATTTTCAGCTATTCATTCTTCTATCGCTAAACATTTTACAGCCAGATCGCTGCTCATTGCAAGCTCAAATATAAATTTGGAAGAGTCGGCAAAATATTTGCACATATTTACAGTCTTGAACATTTTAAAAAACCAAATAACCAACCTTGAGCTTGTAAGACCTGCGTTCGACAAGAAAAATTCTCTGGATCCCATAAGAATCTGCAAGCATATGAGTCAAATAACCTCTCCCTGCTCCAAACTCAACCACCGCTGGTAGTTCCCCTTTCTTCTGAACAAAATTATTTCCTTCACCTTCCTCAAGCACAGAGCCTATAATTTCGTTTTTTGGCCTATGCAATATCCCGAACTTCTCCATATTGCCAAGAATTGAAGCCTGCTGCAACACATGTCTCTCCTGATATGGAATTTTGCTGTCAAAATAGCAGCCAACTATCCCTTCAGAACTTGAACCACTTCACATTAAATTACTTCAACTACTGAGATCAAACTGGAATAATGTAATTTATTCTTCCCACCTGTCTATTTGCCGCCTCAGCCATTTCTCACAGGCTTCCGGCATTAGGTAAGAATCCTCCAAATATCCAACTACGGCAGCGTGTAAAGACTCAATTTTTTTAACTAAAGCAAGGAAATCAAGAATATTAAGCCCATAGATGGCCCTCCTCTTGGCCTCGGAGCTGATGTCATCATCTGCAAAATCAATAAAGCCGCTGTTGATTCCTTTTGAGTAGTAAGCATGGGCTTCTAAGGCAATAACCTGCTTCCTCGACGGACACCTCTTGAGGTGGGACTCGAGGTTTTCTTTAAATACCGAGCTGTGAAAAATACAAATAGGTCATCAACAAAACATAGAAAGGAGGGGGATAAAGAGAGGGATGTACTGCGACGGATCGAGTGGGCAAGGGAGGCGGCGATCACTGGCGGAGGAATCATGGTTGCCGCAAAACCTGGAGATTGAGGGGGATGCGATCAATGAAGTTGAGTGTCGACTGAGAGGAGTGGTAGAGAATGAGAGGTAGGAAGATATGTATTAGGGTTTTACATGGATAAAGGTAGAGGAGAGTTGGCGCAGTGGCGGCTCTTGTTTGGAAGCCAGAACTGGCAACGCTTCTCCTTCAGAGCATTTACTAATCCATTTCCTCCTGCTGCTTCATCTCCGCCGACGGCCGTGCTGGAAATCGAAGACGAAGATTCTGGCAGCGTCCGGAGGCGAGACATGGAGGTGACCCTCGAGTTAGTCGACTCTGCAGCGGACAGCAGGCGGCAACGGGATCCCTAACACATATATAACCTCGGAACTGGATAAAATCATAACAAGGCCATTCGGATTGTGTTTTGAGAGAAAGCAGCGCCCGAGAAAATTTTGAGACGGAGCTCTGCTAGGATTTTTTTGCAGGTCTGTGGAGTTTTTCCTCCCGCCTGGAGGTTTTCTCTGCTGGTTTTATTCTTGAACTATCTGTTGGTAAAAGGTAGGATTTAATTTTAGGGGGATTTAATAAATTTTGTAAATTTGAATTTAATAAAATTTGAGGGTGTTAAATATTAAAATTTATTTGATATAACAAATGTTAAATTCTATAAAATTTTGAGAAAGTTTTTAGTAATATATTTTAAAATTTATGATAGTCAGAAATTTAAATATGAAAAAATAGTTTTGAATTATATCAATAAGATAATTATAAATTTAAGATAAGTGCATACAACATAATAAATCTAAGTCAAATATTAATTACACTAGTAATTAGTTAATTATTATTTAAAATAATTAATTATTTAACTACTATTATACTAATAATTGTTAAATGAATTTCTAAGTGTTATTTTAATAAAATTGTATACTTGAATATCTCATTAATCAATTAAATATTCTATTGATTAATTAATATTTACATTAATAGTTACATAATTATTTATTTATATTTCAAATTATATCATTTAAGCTAATTAGATATATTCTTAATTAAGAATAAGTTTTTGTTCTTCTCTGGCATTACCTGGAACTCCTTAGTCTTGTTTAGGGTTTGCTTTTCCTCTTCTACATTGCTTCGTTGTCACCAGCTTCGCTGAGGTAGAGTTTTGAAAGAACTCATCAAAACTGCATAAATTCTGTATCCAAAATACCAATTTAAGATCAACATAATTCTTCAAATTACCTATGCGACAAAAAAATCATGCTCGTAGCAACTAGTAGCGAAGAAGAATCGCAGAGGAAGATGAATCTCGTTTGTTTTTTTTTTATGCTTTTGTAAAGACAATTTTAAAAAATATTAATTCATAAAATGGAATTTTCTAACGGAGAAACATATATAAAAAACTTTCTAAAAAATGCAGAAAAATGAAAAAAATGAGTTCTTAGGAACGTGATTCGACAAACCAAACAACACCAAAAAAAACAAATCCTCCGTTTCCAAACCGAAAAGGTAAAAAAATGCTCAAACAAACAAAGCCTAAGACGACAAATGAGAGCAATGCTTACCCTTCATTGCGGCAGATAAGGGTGTTGGCAACTATGATGGCTAATTATTATGGACCCAACGTCAGGACACTCGATCCAGACGCGACACCACACCGAATACATTGGGCCCCGGACGTAATAATTTGCCCTCCATGACACAGGCATCGCAAGAGATAGTTCTTGCGAGCGTAAATCCCGCTAAATCCTCCAAACCAATGGATTTACTAAATCCCAAATTTACGCCATAAATCTGTAAATCCGGGATTTACCTAGGGGTAAGGAGCACTCAAAAATCGTTTGGTAGGATTTACCATGAATCTGGAATAAATTCGAGCGTAAATCTAATACCAAACAACCCCTAAGAGTTTTTTGTTTCTTATGTTCCTCCTATAAATAACCTAGCTTATTTTTCTAAAGAAGATGTCATAGCTGCATCTGGGGGATGACTCTGGTTGGCTATTCCTTAGGTAAGCGAACATATTATGAGGCTTTGTGTTTTGTAATGTTAAAATATTGGAAGTCGAAGTACTCTTTTTTCTTTAAGTGATAGTTTCTTCTTGTTTAAATTTTCTTTTCATGAATATTTTGATTTGGAGCGGACAGGGATACCTTAGTTTTTTTTTTTTTTTTTTAAACCGTTTATCATTCAATGTTGGTCGCCTTTTTTTTCCTAAATATGAGGAATTTTTTTCAATTCCTCTGAGGATCAAAATCGAGTCGAGCTCGAGCAATCGAGTCAAGCTCAAGCTCATTAAAGAACTAGACAAACTTAGCTAGATTAGATAGATACTCGACTTGACTCATTTACACCCCTACCCCAACCCACTCATAGTTGCAATATGCATCATCCCCAATGCATGAAAAACAAAATAAAATAATAAAAATGAATCTTAAAAAGGGTAGGGACCAAAACTTCCCAACATGAGCGTGCTACTCATCATCTTCCACCTTTTTTTATGCTGTCTTGGTCGTACATGGTCTCATATCCTTGTTCACAAAAATAACATATAATTAGAAAATTTTATTTGAATAGACTACGCAAATAAAGTAAGGGTTCAAAATCTTTAATTTGCCTTTCAAAAATGCTTGGTTTAACATTCTCAAGTTAACCAGTAATCTAGTTTAGAACTAGTCAGGGTCTTTTATTGGAGAGATTATTGGGTTCAGACACCGAACACAGCTTATGTTCAGTACTTCACAATACCGAACAGTACTGAGCAGTATCGAGCTCAGAATTGCTCGGTACTTCACAGTTCCGATCTCATACCGAGCTCAGTACCAAGTAGGGGGTTATGTGGCGCATTTTCATTGGGCTCCGGACGTCGTCCGGTGACCGAACCCAATAATTTCCCCGGAGTTATATACCAACACTTTCTATCCTAGGGAAATTCCATTTAAGAATGTATTTTTCATGCCAATATTTTGGCTTCATTTGGGACGATTTTCTTACTGGTTCTTAAAGCATTTTTTTAGTACAAAATTTTTTGTACTAAAAAACTATTTTAAGAAGCAATAAAAAAACAGTCCCAAACAAAATCTTTATTATTGTTGTGTCCTGGAGCATTTGCGATGGTAGAGAAATATATTGTTTAACGTCTTAGCATTGTACGAAGATCCAGCACACAAGCAGATAAGAGAGAGGGTGTAGCATTCATAAGAGACACCAGAGTTTTTAAATGTAAAACCCCTAAAAGGGGAAAAAACCACGGGGCTTGGCCCAGTTTGAATGAATCCACTAGTATTTGCAGTCGATTACAAATGAGGCCTTTCCTTGGGAGAAGGCCTTGGCTTGATGGTATAAATGTACATCATATATAGCGCATTATATAGTGGGAATTACAATAATATACATGTTTGTTTGGTTAGAAGGGCCGTAGTTGGCACGAGACGGGGGTCCGAAAGACCGTAGTTGGTAGGAGATTGGGGTCAGGAAGACCATTGTCTGGCGATGTATGTCAGAAGGACCGTAGTAGGCGACGGAGGTCGAAAGGACCGTAGTCGACAGGAGATATGAGTCTGGAAGACCGTAGTTGGCAGGAGACCGGGGTATGAAAGAATGTTGTCTGGCGATGTAGGTTAGAAGGACTATAGTAGGCGACAGAGGTCGTGAGGACCGTAGTCGGCAGGAGACTGGTGTCTGAAAGATCGTTGTCTGGTGATGGAGGTCAGAGTGACCATAGTAGGCAATGGAGGTCGGGTGGACCGTAGTCAACAAGAGATTGGAGTATGAAAGACCATAGTAGAAGGGTGGTACTTCGGTAGAACTCCGGGCGTCAGGTGGTGGCCTGGTGGAGCTCGGGTCCTCAGGTGATAGTCCGGCGGAAGTCTGAGCCTCAGATAGTGGCCTGGCGGAGGTGAGGGCCTCAAGTGGTGGTCCAACATAGCAACGCCGTCAAGCGGTGGTCCGGCGAAGGTGAGGGCCTCAAGTGGTGGTCCGGCAGAAGTCCGATCCATAGGTGGTGCTCTGGTGGAGCATAAGGCTTCAAGTGGTGGTCCGGCGGAGCAACGGCATCAGGCGGTGGTCCAGCAGAACAACGGCGTCAGGCGGTGGTCCGGCGGAGGTAAGGGCCTTAAGTGGTGGTCCGGCAAAAGTCTAAGCCACAGGTGGTGGCCTGGTGGAGCACAAGACCTCAAGTGGTGGTCCGACGGAGAAACGGTGTAAGGTGGTGGTCCGGCTGAGGTGAGGGCCACAAGTGGTGGTCCGACGAAGGTTCGGCGGTGGTCCGGCAAAATTCTGGCGGTGGTCGATGAGGAGCTTCTTCCTTCTCTTCTCTTCTTCTCTTCTTACTTCCATCCCCTCTCAAGAGAAATGAGGGTCTATTTATAGATTTTCTGGAGCGGCATGGCCCATAAATAGGCAAGAGATCAGGGGTAAATGGGGGAGTGGTTGGATGGACGTTCTATTGAATCCCTTGATCATGCACTGTTCGTTAGACATTTGGAGGTCTTAATGATTTCAAAATTCAGTTATCTTGGTCTTGTTGGATTCGTCTTGTCGAGTCACTCAATTCAACTATAAGCTCATCATATTTGGAAACTGTTTGGTAACTCAAACAGTGGTACGAAGCTTCCAATACCGCTTCGGGTCCTTGATTTGGACTCATTTGGGCTTGGATTGAGTCGAATTTGGTGTCGTTTGGTTTGTATTTCCGAGATGCTCAGTTCGACTATATGTTTGCTGAAATCGAACTTGAGATAGTCTCCAAATTAATTTTTGAAGTTTCCAACTTGATTTTGCACCGAGATTTGCGTTTGATCAAGATAATTTTTGACGACGTATCAGATGCCCCCTATTTTCAGACGTTGAAGTCCAAGAAGTTCGAAAATATATGTGTCGACAAATCACATTGGCCGAATCACAAAAAATTGCATTCCAAAATTAAAATCTTGCTCAAACTCGATCATAGAGGTCGCGTTAAGCACGGAAAGTGTCAAAATTGAGTCTGAAACGTCAAAAAAAAGTGTCCATGAACCCCAAAAACATCTGATTTGGACCGTCCGGGCCAAAAATTGGAGCCCACTCATGTGTAGGTGACCGAACCGACTGGTCGGTCGGTTGGCTATAGGTAGCCGCCGTCGCCGGCAGTCCTCGCTGAGGCGAGGGTAGAGGGGCGCGCCGTTAGGGGCAGCCGTCATTTGCCGGCTGCATTTATTAAAAAACTTTTTTTTGGAACCGCTGTAGGCAGTTTTTAAAACCGCCATCCGGGCGGTTTTTAAAACCGCCATCCGGGCGGTTTTTAAAACCGCCATCCGGGCGATTTTTAAAACCGCCCGGGTAGTTTTTTTTCAAGAGATAGAGAGAGAAAGAGAGCCCTTTTTATTTATTTATTTTTCTCTCTCTCGCTCAACTCCTCCCACTTCTCCAACTTTGCTCTTTTGCCTATAAATACCCCCTAGTGGATATGAAATTATGCGCATTCTCTTCTCTCTCTATTCTTATAATTGAGTCTTTCCCTTGATCTTCCAAGGCCCATCTCTTTGCAAGGAAGTCCGGA